AATCTGTTTTAAAAAAAGAGATAGACATAAGTAAGAAGTTATTAAAATTCATTACCCTATAAAAATAATAATGATAAAACTATTTTTATATAAAATTTATATCCCCTATTTATATTATCTAGTTTTTTAAAAAATATAAACCTAGAAAGAAATAAGATAATAGTAGTTGCTCCATGCTTGGTGGAGAAATCAGAATATCATCTCGACTAGCTTTCTTGTATTTCCTATAATTATGTAGTATATATTTGTTTTTGATGTTGTGCTTGTTTTGAATGGTTGAGTTCATCACTAAAAACAAAATAAACAGGAATAGAAATATAAATTTATTATTTTTATTTTTATGTTTTTTATGCTGTAAAGGATTATACCTTACGGCAAATAATAATAAAAACAAAAACACCCGCAGTACTGCTTCTGTATGGATCCTGCTGCTCTCTAGAAAATTACAATGAAGTACCTTGAATCATGAAAAGAAACATCTAAAACAATAAAGCAGAGGTAGGCGAAGAATAAAATATTCTTCGAGTCCCATTTCCGTCGGCAGGCAATGAGTAGAAACACGGGGGGCTGGCAGTGCTGCTTTATCATACTGTTTAACCTTTTGATTTCGAACATGCTTTGATTAATGCGAATAATAGTTAAATTTGAGTATATATTGGATAGTATTTAAAAGAATGATAATTAACTCAATATCCACTACAATAAATAAATAATTTGGCCATCACAATAGAGTTCTTAACTAGCTTTTATGTGAGATATAAATATTGATGTCTTTATATCCAAATACATGCAAATATTGTTAATTCAAAATCCTATTAATAACAATGGATATCCTCTCCAAATTCCTCCAATCATTTGACTGGTGGTTTCCACGTGTGTTTTCTCTGTCGGATCCATCAATCAACAATTAATGAATTTTAGGCATATTAATTTCAAAGTACTTGTATAGTCCTAAAATATTTAGGTGAAAACTAGTTTACTGGCTTTCGTTGCGTTGCGGTCAGGTCACAACATTTTTAAGTGTGAAAAGAAAAGGTTTGGGTTAGAAAAATCATTCGATATTATTATTATATCTAATTTATTTAGTTAATTTCATAATTGTTTTTACTCAAACTTGTTATCTAGACTCTAGTTTATAATTAATCAATTTGAGAGTTATCCCTATTTGATACGAGAAATTAAAAAATAATTTAGATAATTAAAAAAAATTATAATTTTACTTTAAAAAATTTTTAAAATAATATTTTTTTAATATTAAAATGTTGATATATTTGATTAAGTTAGACTTCACAGCTTAATATGCTAAATTTGTAATCCAAATCATGGACTCCATTAAATTTAATTATTTTATTTTTTATAAAAAAATATTTTTACTTAATGATATGGTAAAAGAAAAATAGACATTTGAAAAATTAAACATCAATCAAATACTAAGATATTTTTTGAAATTAAGATAACATTGTAAAAACCAAATTGAAATAACTTAGAAGACTAACTCAAAATCAATCAAACATTGAATAATAAAATTGAAAAAAAAGTAAAAAATGATTTAATTGAAATAAAAAATAAATTAAAAGATGATTTTAAAAAAAAGAGAAAAAAAAGGAATGGAACCAGCGAGTCAACCTTGAAATCTTTCAACCTGACTTCTTACCTATAATGAATTTAGAATGAACCCGTGTAGTAGCTATCTTGAAGTGATCTTGTAGAGTTGGCGGCTGGAAAGACAATTCGAACAACTGGAAAATAATGTAATTTGCTTTGAGAAAAAACCTAAATATGACATTTTTTGTTTTTATATCAAGATAAAAACATGTTGGATTAATTCAGGCTTTACTATTTAACCTATCAAATTTGCGATTCGAATCATAAACTCTACTAGTTTAACAAAAAAAATTAACTATTTTATATCTAATGAGATGATAACAAAAATAATCACTCAAAAAATTAAACAACAACTAAACATGAAGATATTTGTTTGAAATTGTAATAATTTAATGAAAAACAAAAAAAAAAATATTACAAGAACCATATAAAATCAAAGAAATATTAAAGGATAATATTAAAAAAAATAATTGAAAAAAAGGAAGCCCTTCAAAGTTTTGTTTGATATTGTAATAATTTAATAGAAGTTAAACCAAAATAAATTTTAAAAAATAATATAAAATGAATTAAATATTAAAGAAAAAAAATAAAAAAATAAAAGTACAGATGACTCCGAACAGTGAAGGGTTTCCAATTGTGTTTTCAGTAAAAGCAGATTATGAAGCTCCTTGATACGATAACAAAAACCCATGGTATTTAACAAATTGCTCTAAAGAAAATGGAGAGTACTCACAGCACTCTTCAAGGAATTAAAAAACAACAGAGTTGACAGTCATAAAGGCTGTCCAGGCCTAATCTGGTCTGGGCTCAGGAATCAGGCTTGATGGTTTGGGCTCTGGAATTAGCAGAAGACATTTTTTTGTTCTTTTGCGAAGACCATGTTATTTTTAACCAACAAGCTCTGCCGATTTCTTTTACCCAATATATTCAGGGGAGCATATTGTAAATAACTTCAAAATCAAGGGTATTTCACGCCTGTGTCTACTGGATTATACATCCCGGAGATCGTCCAGGAGTCATTATCAACTTCCTTCTTCGAAAAACAAATAGCTGTTCTCTTACCATTTATTTGTCCATGAATAACTTGTTTTCTTTTTCACCGCCGAAAATGGCATATCTAAAGACCAGTCACCTCAAGCTCCTAAACACCATAATTCGAGCTCGGTCTGTTATTTACCGAGCCACAGCTTTGATCAAGTTAGGATCAACTGGGCCTAGTGCAGGAGATACACACACTAAGCCCGGCACAGTCCATTTTCAATTAGCTGGACTCGGACCAAGTTCCCTTTGGTAGTCTTCGAGTAAAGATGGGATGGGTGCGTGTCTATATATATATAGATATATGCCGAAAGATACAAATTTTCGGATTCGAAAAGAACAAGAGTCGTATAAAAAAATCCCATGTAAGAGAAAAACACATATTTGAGATTTAATGTTTTTCTTTATAATCAAATCTCATTGTGATTATGAAAAAAATATATTTTCAAATTAATTATATTAATTGTATTTGTGAAACAAGTGTTTAGCTGTGAAGGCGAGCACGAAATGAAAAGGAGTGGCCACCTTTTCCTATGAAAGAATATTGTGGTCCAAAAGATCAAATAGGTCGACTTTTAATTAATTAATTAATTAATCAACCAATTGGATGATCAAGCACAAATAACATCTGATTTGTGGCTTTGATGGACAAAAAGTAGTGCTAGGAATCTTCAAATATAAAAAGAACACCTAGAAGAGTTCTCGTCCTTACAAGTGTCATGTGCATAGCCGTACTTAGTGTTCCGACAAAAGGTTGTGAATGAGAAGCGTGGTTAAGTTGTTTGTTATCTAGCTGCATTTTTCTAGGAGAATCATGGTTAGTACGAGGATTATTTTAACTAGCGGACAAGTATAATTCATAAAATTATTATTTTGGGTTTCAAATTTTTGTTATTTAATTTTTTTTTGAGAATATTTTATTTATTTATTTATTTTAAAATACATTAATATTCTATGTTAACATTCTTACGTTTAATTCTAATTGAGTTGACCTTCTTCAAAGATACCCATTATATTTATATAAAATCAATTCCAACATTAATTAAACGTTCCCCCTCCCTAGCATGAACATGAACATACTATGTCGTGGTCCCTGCATTTTTATATTTTAAAGTCAAACTGACATAATTGTTGTGCTTGATTGTCTAACTCCAATAATGCTTAAACAGAATAACCACTAATTGAGGCAACGGTGATGATTTTTTTATAATTTTATTTATAAATATTATTATATTATTTTAGATTAATTTTATATTTTATATTCAATAATAAATTTATTGATAATTAAATTTCATAATTTATTTTGATTTATTTTATTTGGAGTTATTTTTTAAAACATGCTAATATTCTGTGTTAAAAACTCTCATGGCATCTGCTTCTCCTCCTTGGCTTCCCTGAAAAGTTTATGCATCTTATGATGACTTGTGTTGAAAGAGCCTCATTTTTAGTGGGCTGTCAATGGAGAGCTCATGTTGAATTACAAAATTTAATATAGTTATACTTGAGTTGACCTTCTTTAAAAATAACCTTTATATTTTTATAAAATCAATTCCAACATCAATTGTATATTATAAGCGAAAGTGGATCAAATATTTTAAGGGGTTATACTTTAATTTGAACTGTACTTGTTAGCTTATTAGAATTTATAATTGTCAGCTAAAAAGGGGATATATTTTAATTTTATTATTGGTGATAATTAGATATTGTGGAAATACATGCACCTTTGATCTAAAACTAAAAACCTCAACGAGACAATTTCTTAATTAAAATTCTAAATTATTTTGAATTTAAATTAAATTTTAAAATTTTAAACAATATACACATCGGGTATACAAATGAATATTAAAATATACACATTAAGTTCACATATATCAAATATACAAGTGTTATATTTTTAGCTTAAGAAGTACATGCTTCATTTTTACTATTATATATTAATGTTTAATTTTTACTATTATGCCATTAGATAAATAAAAAAGTTTCCATGGCGCTATCCTCCTTTAAATTTGAAAGGTTTATTCCATTAATGTTTAGATAATTGTATCAACATCAGATATTTCATATTTTGATATTGAAAATTTTAATTACATGATAATATTAATTTTAATTCAATCTCTTAAATACATGGATAAAGGTATTGATGTAAATAATCTCAAAAAAATAAAAATAAAAAAAATCCCAAATCAAAGTCAAAAAGGCTTTCCCAAGCAGTTTTGCATATTCTCAAAAAATTAATTTTTTTTATATTTTAAATGGTTTTGATATCTAATATAAATAATAATTTTGTGAAGATAAAAAAATATTACTTTAATATATTTTTAAAAAAACAATGCAGGCATACTTGCAAACAGTACCGAAGACAGTCCCTTCTTTAATTCTTGCCAGACTTTCAACTCTTGCACAATTTCAACCGGTAATCTTGCCTTTCTTGCAATACCTTCTTCTTTCTTTTCATTCCAATTGATGCGGAAATAATAAATGACGGGTTTTTTCTCTTGGATTTTTGTTTTTTTGGTGCAGTGAGTGGAGCAAAGATTATAAGGATTTTGTGAGAGTGTTTTTTCGGTGGGGTGATATGGTTTCGTCAAATGCTACATCAGGACATGCATGTCCATCTATAAAGACTACATCAAATGGGGTATTTCAGGGTAATAATCCTCTTGATTTTGCACTCCCTTTAGCCATTTTGCAGATATGCTTGGTGATTGTGGTAACAAGGGGTCTTGCTTTCCTGTTACGACCATTGAGACAGCCAAGGGTGATTGCAGAGATTATTGTATGTACATTTCTCTTCTATTAATATTTGATTGAAATCTGATATATGCTGATTTGGTTTTGCTTTTGCATTTTCTGCTATTTTGTTTGTGCATGTTAAGAGTGTTTTTGGTCGTCTTTTGTCTAGGATGTGAGTTGTCTTATTTTTATTTTATTTTGTGCGGTTCTTCTTTTAAAATTTACTAAAATAAAGATTATAAATTGTATCTGAGAAAGATGATGCTTTATTGAAAATGACTGTGATTCTCTAGGATTTTGTCCTTCCCATACAAAAATTATCACGTCGCTCCAAATTTTTGGTCCTGCCGTTTGATTCTCTCCTCTGGGATTAAATTAACGGTCAAGTAGCGATAAATTCATCTTTTGTTAAGATGGAGTCGAAAGACTACAACTGGACATGTTATTCTGTTGTTCACAGTGCGATTGGGTTTGATTCTGCAAAAGATGATGGTGTTTGTGGCTCAACATCCACCTTTTGGTCTTGATCTTGGCATTTTTATTCTTCTGATTTTACCTTGTGGATATGTTTGGATCAAGCCTAAGTTTGATAATCATTGTCTGCACATTCTTTTGCTGTACAAATTCAGCAGGTTGCCTGAAAAACATGTACATTTTCAGTTTATGCTAGTAAGGTGAATGCTCATGGAATAAAAGATTTCAAGAGGCATAGTGCAATCAATACATACAGTTCATCGAATTGAAATTCTAGCAGCTAAAAATACTGTCTCCAGTAGAAGCTTTGCTAAGGTTAAACTCGAAAACTTTACCTTGTGGCAGGGAGGAATTTTACTTGGGCCTTCTGCTTTGGGTCGAAGCAAGGGATTTTTGCTGGCTGTATTCCCAACCAGGAGTCTGACGGTGTTAGATACCCTTGCAAACATTGGCCTCATTTTCTTTTTGTTTCTTGCTGGACTGGAGTTAGATCTCAAATCCCTTGGTCGAACTGGAAAAAAGGCACTAGCAATTGCCATGGCAGGAATTAGCCTCCCTTTTGCTATGGGAATTGGCACGTCATTTATTCTCCGGTTAACCATATCTAAAGATGTTAATAGCACTGCATTTCTTGTTTTCATCGGGGTGGCACTTTCTATAACTGCCTTCCCTGTCTTGGCACGAATTCTGGCTGAGCTGAAGCTCTTAACAACTGATATTGGCAGAATGGCCATGTCAGCTGCAGCAGTAAATGATGTGGCCGCATGGATTCTTCTTGCTCTTGCCATTTCTCTGTCTGGATCTAATACTTCTCCCATTATTTCATTTTGGGTTTTCTTGTCTGGTTGTATTTTTTTCATTTGTTCAATTCTAATTGTGCCCCCAATCTTCAAATGGATGACTAAGTGGTGCCAAGAAGGTGAGCCAGTTGAAGAGATGTATGTATGTGCTACATTAGCTGCTGTTCTGGCTGCTGGGTTCGTAACTGATGCTATTGGAATTCATGCTATGTTTGGCGCTTTTATTATTGGAATCCTGGTGCCAAAGGAAGGGCCATTTGCAGGTGCTCTTGTAGAAAAAGTTGAAGATATTGTTTCTGGACTCTTCCTTCCATTGTACTTTGTCTCAAGTGGACTAAAGACCAATGTAGCGACAATTCAAGGGCTCCAATCTTGGGGCCTACTGGTTTTGGTTATTTTCACAGCATGTTTTGGGAAGATTGTTGGCACTTTTGTGGTGTCCCTTTTATGCAAAGTGCCTCTCCGTGAGTCTCTTGCCATTGCAATCCTAATGAACACCAAAGGCTTGGTGGAACTCATTGTTCTCAATATTGGTAAAGATAGAAAGGTAATTAACTATTTTTGTTATTTAAATTGGTTCTGGTTATAGCTGTGTGCTTTTGTTTCAAACGGCCCAATGCAAATATCACTTGCTTGTTTGGATTTTCAGGTTTTGAATGATGAGACATTTTCCATTATGGTTTTAATGGCTCTGTTTACAACCTTCATCACTACACCTCTTGTTACAGCTGTTTACAAGCCAGCACGAAGAGTAAAGATGGCTGACTACAAGTATAGGACAGTTGAAAGGAGAAGTTCAAATACTGAACTTAGGGTTTTGGTCTGTTTCCATGGCTCGAGAAACATTTCATCGATAATAAATCTTCTTGAAGTGTCACGAGGGGTTGAGAAGGCTGAAGGGCTTTGTGTATATGCAATGCACCTCATGGAGCATTCTGAGAGGACATCAGCCATATTAATGGTCCACAAGGCAAGGAAAAATGGGTTGCCCTTTTGGAACCGGGGCCAGCGGTCTGGTTCTAACCTTGTTGTCGTGGCATTTGATGCTTTCCAGCAATTGAGCCGTGTTTCTGTCCAGCCGATGACTGCAATCTCTTCAATGGCTGACATGCATGAGGACATTTGCACCACTGCTGAGAGGAAGAGAGTTGCAATGATCATTCTTCCATTCCATAAACACCAGAGGATGGATGGCTCACTTGAGACAACTCGAACTGACTTCCAACTGGTTAACAGGAGAGTTCTTGGGGATGCACCTTGCTCGGTTGGTATTCTAGTTGACCGCGGGTTTGGTGGAACCACTCAGGTATCTGCAAGTAACGTTTCTTATGTTATTACAGTCCTATTCTTTGGAGGCCGTGATGATCGTGAAGCCCTTGCATATGGAGCTCGAATGGCTGAGCACCCTGGTGTCAGTTTAAAGGTTATTCGCTTCTTAGTGAAACCTGAAGCTGGAGAGATATCCAGAGTTGACATGGATGGTAGTTCTAGCACCAGATTGGGATCATTGGATGAAGATTTCATCTCAGAGTTGAAGCAGAAAATGTCCAAGGATGACTCTGTGAAACTTGAAGAGAAATTTGTTGGAAATGCTGCAGAAACTATCGATGCAATCCATGAGGCACGCCACAGCAATCTTTTCCTGGTGGGCCGATTGCCTGATGGTGAAATAGCCTTAGCTTTAAGGAGTAGTAGTGACAGTCCAGAACTGGGGCCTGTGGGGGGGCTGCTGGCCTCTTCTGATATCTCAACAACAGCGTCAGTTTTGGTTGTCCAACAGTACAGTAGCCAAGTGTCTTTGGATTTAGCTTTGCAGATTGGGTAAGAGTTTTTGGGAAAAGATTCAGAATATAACTATGGGATTTTAGTTTTGTGTCTAGTTAATGTTTAGTCAGAATGTAATGAGTTGCAACAATCATTTTCCAAGCTCGTCACATGGCTCTTTAAATCATGCGCGGTGTGATTAAGAGTTCTTCTTTTCGGTCATTTAGCTATCCAATTTTATACTTAATGAAAAAAAATTAGCCGAAAACACAAGATCATTATCTGGCCGCGTATTTTGGAAGTTCCACCAAGTAGGACCAATACCATCGAAGCTCCAAAAAGTAAATAATATGCCCTCCTAAAATTGGCAGAACTCTATTACTACAACATGATACTTTGGCTAGTAGATTTTTGGAGAAAAATATAAAAAATAATTGATAAAAATACAATCTTATTAACTAAACATGAATAACTAGCCTTCAGATTTGATTTCACTCTCATTTCTTGACCCTGTAGGATCGAAGTAGTCCTATATAAGGACAGGAAGTATAGAGGGAACCAACAAGTGCTAGCTTGAGCTCATTCATCTAGTAGCTCTGCTTTTGGATGCTCGGCTTCTTTCCTCTTCAGATCATCTCTAGAAAGAAAATGAGAAACTGCAGGCTGCATCGTTCTTTTTTTTTTCTTTATGTTCCTTTCCGTATCTTCAGCCTATCCAGGCCAGAAGAAGCAGTACAAACCATGAAAGAAATTATTCCTCTACTTCCATGACATGATTTACAATGGACAGAATGCTGCTAATGTACAGCAGCAATTGTGGCAGCACCAGAAGGTGCTAACTTAACCATCTTAGCAGGCCACTTCCATTTTGGAAAAATTGCAGTTTTTGATGATCCCTTTACCCTGACAACAATCTTTATTCTCCACCAGTTGGCAAGGCTCAAGGCATGCATATCTACGATACCAAAAACACATCCACTGCTTGTTTAGGCTTTGCTTTCGTTCTTAACAGCACAAGACACCAAGGAACCATAAATTTCATTGGAGCTGACCCAATTATGGTGAAGAGCAGAGATATATCTGTAGTTGGAGGTACTTGATATTTTCTCATGCACAGAGGAATCGCAACCATAATGACTGATGCATTTGAAGGTGATGTGTATTTCAGGCTCCGTCTCGATGTCAAATTCTATGAATGCTGGTAGAACAGCAGATATAATATCAAGTTTGAGAGTTGGTAAGTGAACAATATTAGTGTATTTGATTTGTGTTCTCCACTAGAAATGTTCTTTCAGAACTGCAGCAAGCCAAGCTTGCTGCTCGAATTTGAAATGTAACCCTTGCTCTATTAATAGTTAGCTTTTTTTCAACAATTTATAGTTCTGAAAATTAGCAGTCGGGAGTAAATATTTGGGTCCTTCCCGTCACGAATTTAGTTAGTGGATTTCTTGGAGTATTCCACTAATCTACTGTGGTGCAAAGAGAAGAAAGCTTGATTAGAGTAATTGTCTGAACTTTAAAGGTTCCCAAGGCTGTGTAGCCGCTCTCTGATTGGCATGGGGGCACACCATTCACCAACCACCCCTTCAAGAAATAGATTGAAATCAAAACTTTGTAAGATGAAAGCCAAAACTTTAACAACGACTTCTTTCTTATCTTCTCTATCTTGAGCCAAAAACAATACAAGAGTCATAGAAATCGTTTTCTTGCAGCATCTTTTGATCGCTTACGCTCAGGAGGACCAAACACAAGTTAGCTCCAAACACTTCACTGCCAAAAATAATGTGTACGCTTCTCTTATGAACTAATACTACAACATCAAAAGGACAGGAGTTGTTGAGGCTATACCATCACGTGATGCCGTAAGACAATGTCTAAAGACTGGAAACTGCTATATATGCTGAAGATATTGGTTCGATCTAGCACAAGATTTGAGGACAATCTCAACCGTGACCATGAGAGATCTTGTAATGATTTTCTTCATCTCCCCCCTCTTTATATCTCTATCTGTTTCTTCAGCCAAAAATTCTTTCAAGCCAAAAGAACCATGCAAACATATCGTGCTCTATTACCACGATATTCTTTTTAATGGCACGGATGCGGCTAATGCAACATCTGCTGCAGCTACCAATGCTACAAAGCTAGGAAACTTTAATTTTGGTATGCTAGTTGTTTTTGATGATCCCATGACCAAAGACAATCACCTTCTTTCCCGTCCTGTTGCAAGAGCACAAGGGTTCTATTTCTATGACATGAAGTCCACTTACACTGCTTGGTTTGCTTACACCTTGATCTTTAACTCCACTGAATATAAAGGTACTCTAAATATAATGGGTGCCGATTTGATGATGATGGAGACAAGGGATTTTTCTGTAGTTGGGGGGACAGGAGACTTTTTCATGGCTAGAGGGATTGCCACGATTCATACTGACACTTTCCAGGGTGACTATTATTTTCGCCTCAAGATGGATATCAAGTTATACGAGTGTTATTAGGTATCATTAGTCTTTTTTTACCCTTGTGGTCAGATATGCTGGATTTGATGAATAAAATGAGATTTTGTGTAAACTTGTAGCATACTTGGAGTCTCAATATCTAAGGAAGTTTCTGTGCACCTCAATTCTGTATCAATTTGTGTGTTCTCCATGCTGGTGAGCCAGTAAAAAGTTAGGAAAGGTCCAAGTGATTGTGTTAAGCTTATTCCCCGTCTTGATTAGTGAAAGATACAGACAGATCATTTGTGTCTCATTGTACTAGCTATGCCCTCGCTGAAAATTAAATAATGCTATCAATCGAGCATATATACGAACCTTTTTCTGTTAATGTATACAAGAGCAACTTTGCATTTACTCATAACAATAAACCCTTAAGCAAAGAAGAAGCAAAAATACGATCCATCTATTTCAACCTTTTGTCCTTGGTCTTTTCTTTCTTTAATGTGTGAAAATACCCCATTTCTAGTTTCTTAGTGGAAAGAGGAATCATCTATATGAGTTGATGCCATACTGGTATAAAAAGAAATCAAATCAGATAAGAGACTCAAGAGGCAGCTTATCATTTCAAGTTGGGAAAAGTAATTTCCTAGCTATGGTTTTATTTCCTAAGATGGAGGGTGAGAAGGATGATTATCAAAAATCCTGAAATAGACCTGTTAAAATTTACTGCAAGGGCTGCTTAAATAAACAAGATGCATATCACATGTGGTCATTTTGTTAGAGATCAACATCAGCTCAAAGTTTATAGTACATAGGAGGTTTGCAAGAATTCTGATAGTGTTAGAGTTAGAATTTTGCAGTAACAAGTCAATGTTAGATTAGAGTTTTATTTTTATTAGAAGATAGTTATTTGATTCATTTCTTCATTAGATCAAGTAGTTAGATGATGTTTAAGATTAAGGGAGGCAAAAGTCCTGTATGATTTGTAAGGCTATTTAAAGTCATCTTGATTATTCAGAATATATATAAATACGGCTGTTTTTCCATAAAACTTCTAGAGATTTGTCTGCCTTGTTACTATGTTCTTGGTGTAATTTCTTGATTCTTTAAGCAACAATCAAACTAGTTTGTGTCGTCAAAATAAGAGCAAACATGATGAGAGATCTTCAAATTATTGAAGGAAACAAGAAGCTTAACAATCAAAATTAACCTACGTGGGTAACATGCATGATGTCTTACATGCAAGGCCAATATTTCTAGGAGGCAGTTAATGCTAGTGAATTCACACAACCAGCCGAATACACTAATGAAGTCTTGCGTAAATGGAAGATTAAAAGCAAGCAAAACAATGTTTTCCTTGAAGACCACAATTGAAGAAGATATGTTGAAGCACATTCAGGATGCCATAACATCAAAAAAAACATGGGGCACCGTTGTTAGCCTTTTCTAAAATAAGAACGATACTGTAAAAGTATCAAATATGCAAGAGGTGCATATCTCTGTAGGCTGTCCAAAACAATTCCTAAAGGTGTTAGCAACCATGCCAATAATGTGATAAATCGGTAGTGCATACTTGTGTAATTTTAGGTTCGTCAAATGAAAATCGACAGCGCAGATTGTTGACGAACATGGGTTGGAAGTTAGAATGTCTAGGCTAAGCAGGAAAACTCGTTAGGGAGATAAACTCATGAGAATAGAGGCTATCTTGGAATTCAACAACGTAGACATTAGCAGCCTGCACGTAAATGCGAATTCAGCAGCGCGCAACAGCTTGTGCAAGTCATAGGTTTGACTTGGCATGATCTAAAACTTGGACGAAGGACTGTCCAAGGCATACAAGAGACCAGAAGCTGACGTAGCACAAACTGGCAGTTAGGGCTGCCAGGTAGGCATGTAAAACATGTGTTAGTGGCAATTATAAGCATCCAAGATCAAGGGATCATAAGAGATGCGCGGGCGAACATAGGGGCATGGCTGGAAGTGCTCTAATCCCACTAAGATAATGGGAGATCATGGGGAAAACTACCCACTACTTGGTAGATAATAGGGTCACAATGTTCATGGGTGAGATAGTGTTCCACTAATTCTTAAAATGTAGGAATGGAAGTTGTGCCTTATAAATGCTTGTCTATAAATAATTGTTGCAGCTCTTGGTTGAAGGACCATGTAGAGCATGAGATAGAGATATTAGCTTGGTGTGGCATGCAATCTTTGTGCATAGCACACATACAGATTTGTGTATAGTTTTCTTTGTTTATGACATTAATAAAGTTGAGAAAGAGTTCCAGTAAAACTTGTTGTGCACTTTGATTAACTTATTCTATTTGTGTATTCTGCTTGTTTTCTAACTTGAAAAATTCGAGAAAACCTCTCGGGTGAGGAAAATACTTAGTTAGTAGGCATACACGAGTGAAATTGATGAGGAAAAACTGAGTCTAGTTGGAGACTAGGCTGCCACATGAGTTTATTTGAAAAGCAAAAATTTACCCCGTGATAGATACCATATTGCAACTTCTCTAAAATGTGTCATTATTAATGACACAATCAGACATAATGATTTCTCAATTATTTGAGAAGGTAAAATCAATATGTTATAATATTTTTAAATTATAATATGAAGCATCTATCAATAAAAAGAATAATATATGGTTTAATACCTAGATATTGGAGTTTTGTTACTACACTACAAGGGTGGTCTACTTAACCATCACTAGTTGAGTTTGAAAATCTAATTGTTGATT